TGCGGCCTTCAACTATTAGCAAAACACATAGCGTAAAGTAAGCTATATAAAGACCCGACACGAAAATGTAAAACAATTCACACGAGAAAACCAACGGCCTGTTTTATATACAAAACGATATACGAAAATGTATACGGGGTTAAACCTGTTTGTGAGTTCTCATACTTTCCCACTAACTCGGAACAGTGGAGTAACAGCAACAAACTGTAAACATCTGTAAAAACAATGGCTTTAAAATAATCAGCATATAACAACTAGAGGTCACTGTCCGGCCTTGAAAAATAAAGAAAAGCCTTACCGTTTAGTAATTTAATAAAAAGCCTTTGGAGAATAAAACGTGATACAATTCAAAAGAGAAACCTAACGACTGGATTCAATTCAGTGAAAGAAAATAATTAAGTCAGACAACAACCAACGACATCCACTCGACTGATTATTCGAAACAACCTAATAATGTGGCGAGGCTAAATTTTTGAGAGCTGACCCTACCCCGAATTAACTTAAATGGTGTAGCAACCAAAGCATAATAATACACAGTTACAGCTAATTTCCTAATGCTTGTAGAGTATGACTTTGGTTGGCTTGCTTGCTTTATTTATATATGTGTTTGCTCAAGCATTGTAATTAAGATTGATATATGCAAACAATATAGATCGGTGAAGTTAAAGCTGTATACATTATACTTAAATTTGATTGAATGTTATCCTCGAAGTTAGGAACACCCAATTGTACATGTATACATTACATGACAAATATTATTCACACATATATAAGCTGGATTTTATAAAATTACATAAATCATCATTCTAGTTATTTATAATGTATACAGTTATAACTCCACCTATTTATATTCTTTGCAGATGTCAATCTTATTTACAATGCTTCAGCAAATGTCTATACCAACAAAGTAAGCAAGCCAACCAAAGTCTTGCTCTACAAGCATTATTTGAGTTATTTAAAGTTTCTATCTTTTCAAGATAATAGGCAAAAATGGGGAAAAATGTGAAAAATTGACATTAAAGGGCAATAACTTCAAAAAGGGGACCACTGACAATTTTAGTCATTTTTGACTTATCAAATTAAGGGCAATTACTCTAATAAGGAGTTGTCTGACGATTTTGGTCATGTGACCTATTTGTCTTGTTGATCATATTTGGTATTTAAAGTTATATCTATTGTAATATTCGAAATAATAGGGGAAACGAAATCAAAAATGGTAAAATGCGTCATTTAAAGGCAATTACTCCTATAAGTAGTCGTCTGATAGTTTTGACTTTAAAGGACAATAGTTAGAGCTCAACATTCTGAAAAATTTTTGCTACTGCCAAAATTTCTCTATTAAGAGCGGTTTTCAAAATAATAGACAAAACTTGCTTTAACCCCTATGTTCTATTTTCGGCCATGTCGGCCATCTTTGTGGGCAGGTGGAGTCATCGGACACATTTTCAAACAACATAGCCTAATGATGACTGTGGCTAAGTTTGGATAAATTTTCCCAGTGGTTTCAGTGGAATGATTTTTGTAAAAGTTAACGGAAGACGACGGATGCCGGACGCAAAGTGACGAGAAGCGCTCACTTGGCATTTAGGCCAGGTGAGCCAAAAACTCAATCCATTTATCAGTCAAATATTGAAAAATGAAAATAAATATTTCAAATTTTGATCTGGAAACTGTCTTCTGGTCACAAACAAACTTCCGTCCAAATTTCCTAAAATTCCATGAAGGTTTGACAAAGTAATTAATGTATAAAAAAAACTTGAACCACAGACTGAACCTAAATGTTGCCGCCGCCACCGCCGCCGGAATCTAGGATCGTTTTGTCTCGCTTTCGCGACATTAATGTCACTGGCTTGACAAAAAGCACCCTCAGCGTAGCACAATTGCCTCTGCTGGTGGACTGATAGTTCCCGAGGGTATCACCAGGCCAGTAGCCAGTACTGCGGTATGAAAATGCGGATTTTGTGTTATTGAAATTTGCTGTTAAAAAATTTTGGAAATTATTTTAAATCAAGGAATATATCTCCCTCATGCAAAGCTCTGATTACTTGCCCGGCTTGGGCTATACTTTTTTGTCCTTTTTGATTTGTAGCTCTTCATCTTTGTAATAAGCTTTTGATTTTCAAATATATTGGCTCGAGCATCACTGAAGAGACATTGATTGTCGAAATGCGCATCTGGTGCAGCAAAATTGGTACAGTTAGTATCTGAAGTGTTCTTCGTGCATTTTGTTCGTCTTACATGTAAAAAATACTGTTTCTCACCTGATATCACCCCTGGTTCTAGGTGTGTTTGTCTTTTAAAAATTTTTTTTCACTTATTGCTTTTGCCGGGTCAAACCTAAGGCTGTATAATTGGTATTTGGTGTTTCACTGCTAAGCACGTGCCATTGAGGAGTACGCCACTGGTCGGCTGGAGTCCGAATAAAGTGTCTGGATAGAGAGAATATGTCTTCCTGTAGACTGATACCTTATGAACTACCACTTTAAAAAATCCGACTCAAAATGTCGGTCTAGTACACAGCAGTATATAATACGGTCATGTCCTTGTCCTGAATATGCATTTAAATTTTGCCAAAATAAATAAGAAAAAAATATTACCATTTTTATTTGACAAAGCAACGTGTGCAACATAAAGAATGAGAGCAAGTCATCGAGGTATAAATATAAATCTTAAAATTAATTGGACAAAAAGCTTTTCGTGTAGAAAAAACTACGTTGTCATCAGTCAATGTTCTTGATTGAAGTTTAAATATTTTTTAATATTATACATATAAAATGGAAATATATTGTAAATAATCTTGATAGATGACGATTTTAGTTTTTTTAAAGATGTGTTTACATCATTAAAGTTATATTTGAAGCCAAATAATGAAAAAATTTAATATCATCAATTCTAATGTAAAACTTTTATTGTTTGACAAATTGACATATAAATCTCCATCATGTGATGCATGCTGTAGTATATAAACCACTTAAATACTGCATCTGCAGATTTCTAAATCTCAAAAGGTAAGTAAAATATCTTGTATTTTGTTTTAGATTCTATGTCTTATCTAAATCTTTTATTAAAAGGCAGTTGAAATGCACAAGAGCGTACCCAATCAAATACACTGTTACAAATGCAACGAGAAATCACATGATGAAGATTATTGAACTTATTTATAAATTTTTAAGAACATTTATTTTATTTTATGAAAACATATTTTTATTTATTTTTTATTTTTGAATGAAAGTTTTATGTGTATGAATATGTATTGAACTTTTCATTAATATATATTCAACTTTTTATGAATATATGTTTAACTTTTATGAAATTTTTTTTATTTTTATGAACATATATTTCTTTTTTATAAACAATTATTTGTTTTTATGAACATATATACATTTTTAAGAAAAACTATTGGTTTTGTGAACAATTATTTATGTTTTATGCATTTATATTTTATTTTATGAACACATATATTGTTTTTTTTTTTTAACTTATATTTTGTTTTTATGAACATATATTCGTTTTTACGAACAATTATTTAACATTAAAAACATATATTCCATCTTCTGCGAATATTGCAACGTTTGATACGCCATATTCAAGTAAATACGGAATTGTACATAAAATTGAGAATGGAAATAGGGAATGTGTCAAAGAGACAACAACCCGACCAAAGAGCAGACAACAGCCGAAGGCCACCAATGGGTCTTCAAAACAGCGGGAAAATCCCGCACCCTGAGGTGGGCTTCAGCTGGCCCATAAACAAAAATGTGTACTAGTTCAGTGACCTCACACTAAACTCCGAAACATATAATAGAACTAAAATTAAAAAAAACATACAAGACTTACAAAGACCAGAGGCTTCTGACTGTTTAGGTCCCACTTTGATTTTCCTATGAAAAAATAGAAACGTATCTTTGCGTGTGATGTAGTATCCTGATCCTGTGAGTCATACAATAGTAATGACATTCAAATTTCCACCAATTGTCGTGGTCTAATTTCTTTTTCATATACTTAAGACTGTTGAATTGTCAATTTGTAATTGTCTTGAATATTATTGAATGTATATGTCTTATTGAAAAAAATTTGTAAACGATTTTTAAGGCCAAATATAGAATTAAGATTATTTGATGTTTCCTACCTTATCACCTTATAAGCGGCCTACCTTAAAAATTTTATGACACAAATCGGTTCAATTTTTTTGTTAATAACGTCGTTTTTTTGTCTCAAACATGTAACTTATGTTGTTGGCCAGTAAGAAATAAAATCCCTGTTACCTACCAAACCCTACAAGGCATTGAGTAGGTAACATCAAACAAACAATTTTTAAGAGTTCTAAACACTATCTCTGGATAATAGTGAAGACGAAAGAAAAGAATCTTTTAAAGGGGGCGTACTCACAAGTTCAAAATATATAAGTTATAAAATCCTACTAAAATTTGAATAAAGGAGTCTATATCACATTGATTTTGAGATGAAGATCAGCAATAAAAGCGCAGTTCCTTTGCTTTCTGTGCGTTTTTTTTTTTTGCTGTGCATGAACTGATTTTGTGTCATGGATGGAAACAATTCAAAACGTTATTCAACGCTAAATGTTTCTGGTGTTTTGGTTATCTTCAGGTGTATATAATTTGATGATCATCTGATTGAAAATAAACCATAATATTGTTAGTTACTCAAGGTACACTTTTTGAGCTATGATACTATGAATTCAAGTAAAGATTAAAGACTATTAGCGGCTTTGACCCCATCTCTTTTTTTAACATTTTTAATTTATTAACAGTACAACCAAACATCTAGAGTAAATTCTGCGTTAACACTTCCTTCCGAAACATGATACCCGCGAAGCAGTAAAATTGACCAATTATACATTGACAAATGAACCAATAATCAATTCAATGTACACTACAGTTTATATAATAAAAGTATTCTAGATTCTGAGAAAATGTCATAACTAACTGCTGTCTGTATTTCACTTTCATTTATCATCTTTGTAATATTTTTAGCTAAAAATGAAGCTCGCCATTGCTCTGTTTTTCCTTTTGTCAGCCGTGTGCACGAATGCATATTTACTATGTCATGGTAAAAGTTGTAGATATGGCGTGAATAGTGGCAATCATGGTGGAGGTAAATTTGGATATAGTAGCGCATATAGAGTGCGCAGTGGCAGTAATGGTGGCAATCATGGTAGTGGATATAGCAATCATGGTGTTGATCATGGTGGCAATCATGAAAGTGGATATGGCAATCATGGAAGTGGATATGGCAATCATGGTGTGAATCATGGTGGTAATCAAGATGTTGAGCATGGTGGCAATCATGGTGCTGATCATGGTGGCAATCATGGCAGTGGATATGGCAATCATGATGTTGATCATGGTAGCAATCATGGCAGTGGGTATGGCAATCATGGTAGCATTCATGGTGACAATCATGGTAGTGGATATGGCAATCATGGTGTTGATCATGGTAGCAATCATGGCAGTGGATATGGCAATCATGGTGACAATCATGGTAGTGGATATGGCAATCATGGTGTTGATCATGGTGGCAATCATGGTAGTGGATATGGTAATCATGGTGTGGATCATGGTGGCAATCATCGTGTTGATCATGGTGGCAATCACGGTAGCCTATATAACGTTGGAAATCGTGGAGGATATGGCGTGCATGGTGACGAACCTGTTGTTCATAGTTGAGTGCATGATTGATAGACAGATGCTTATTATTAAAGATATAAAGATCTACTTTTCTCGAAATGGTAAAACGGACATGAATTTAAATCATTATCCACTGTATATTTCTGTAGAAATACTGCAATTAGATATAGCCGGCAGCTGTGTTTTGTTTTTACTATACGCTAAAAAAAATTACATCCACATTGTGTTTTGTTACGTTAAGTTTAAAAGATTCAGTTTTTATCCCCATTCATGTAATCAAACAATCAAGTGTTAAAAGCGCAAAGCGAGATAACAACTCACATGCAACTGTATAATATGCAATTCATTGCAAGAAAGGGAATCATGGATAAAATCTCCCAAAAAACTCTGAAGCCCTAGAAGACGTCATTATTATCTGGACTAGCTTCATATAAATTTGACAAGTATCCCCCTTTTTCTCAAATTCTAGCATTTCAACAAAAAAGTGCAATCAATTGATATCTTTCGGTTGAAACGTAAAATACAAGTTGATGAATGTGTTACTGTATTTACTTTATCGAGTTGCGGCTGTTGTTGTTTGCACTTGTGCAGAAATAATTCTGTAGTCTGAAAAAGAACGTGTTAAAAACTTCGCCAATCTGATCCTTCGGTTATCTCGGAGTTTATCCCCTTTGGGAAAGAACTTTCGGTTTGAAAGGGTTGGTCTTTTCACCGCCGAACACCACCGCACACTGCCGAACACCGCCTAACACCCAAAAAATGAATTAAAACTATGAAAAAACAATAATGTGTGTCAATAAAAGCAGACAACTGTTGAATTTGTTGATTTTTTATCGCAATTTCAAAGAATAATTAAACGGAGAATACACACACTGTTTGTTTATTATGTTATTGTTTCAGTAAATCAACTACATATATATTGACGTCATTATTGATTTTGTTCAGATTAAATGTCTATTTCAATATAGTTATTGAAGGTATTCTTTTGGTTCTGGGCAGATGAATTCTTTTTTTTATTTTTTTCAATATATATATATTTATGTAACTTTTAGGGTCTGTTATGTCATTGTGTAGTTCAATTTCGCCTTCCTGATCCTTTCTTATTTTTTTTAAAATGAATGAAAGTTATATTTCATAATGAATATTTATTACAGTAATCTTTTATATATATTACAAAAATTTACAATATCAAAATAAGTTAGATTGTTCATCTCTTGGCTGTCCTTTCATTTGTCGAACGTTTTCTTTGGCATGGCTTTTTGGCGATTGATTTAGCTTTGTTTACAACAGATAACTTTCCATCAGAAGAACTTATCATCTCTATTTATCTCTTTTTTTTGTCAACAAAGTACTTTTGGAATATGTCTATCTTCTCTTCCTTCGAGTTACATATCCACAACTGATCTTGAACCAGATAATGTACTTCACTGGGTTTTAACAGAAAGTCCCCATGTCCATGGAGGGCACATCTCAGGTGCATGAATTGTGTAAGGACACAGTCATATAGTTTTCTTATCAAGTCTGGATTTGAAAGTGGCTTCCAATTTATTGCAGCTTTAAAAACATGGTTAATACTTTCGGCATTGTTATTAGTCCAAAGTTTTTGAGAATTATCTCTATGGGTTCGCCGGGGCTCGTTAAAGAACTCTTGAATTCTTGGCGAAAAGTGTTTCAAAAGGTACTCTTGAAGCTTTGGATATTGTTTGTATGTAATCTCATTTGTTAAATTTCATGCTATTTCAGTGAAATATTGCAAAAATGAAATGTTCTAGGTAGATGGAGTCTCAAAAACTTATTTTAAGAGAAAATTGATTTGAAATACTTATGACTTATTGAAACCTCCATGGAGTCAGTAAACTTTTATATGGATAGTTTATTCAGCTTGAACACTTCAATTACGCATTTATTATCACATTTCTGGCATAAACGTGTGATAGTTACCCAAAAATTTTGATTTATTGGCCTAAAAAGTTGAAATTTTGAAATGAGAGTTATAAATGTACAGAAAGGGACCTTACAATGAAGACAAAGAGGTCCATTAGTGGTATTTATCATCTTAGAGTCATCTTTTGCACATATTCAACTGTTTGTATGCAGATGAGATGAATATTTGATCATTTATTGGTCCACACTATATTCTATCATGATGCGGCGTGATTTGGATTTTTCGAAGAAATTTTGCTGCAATCGCTGTATATGTCGTCTTACATTATACTAGATTTCTCTCAAACTATTGAACTGATTATGACAAAACTTGACAGTAATGCTTAACATAACCACTATTACAGAGGAAAAAATCACATTAGTTAATGCAACAAAAAAGTCTTCTTTAGGACTTTTTTTTATTAATTTTTCCTCATCCTTTCGATTAAAGTTTCCTCATCCTTTCGATTAATTTTTCCTCATCCTTTCGATTTATTTTCCCTTATCTTATGTGTTCTAAATTTATCCATTCAACTTTACAATTAGTTTATACGTACTGCCTCTCTTCTGTCATGGATAACAGCCAGCACAAATAACATAAGTGAAAATAAAAAGGAAAGTTTAAAAGAAAATAGATTTAATAATAAAAAAAGAAAAAGAAAGTGAATGCCCGAAGCGCCTGTGCACATGTTGCTTCGACACAACTTCACCATTACTTTCGACTGCACGCAATGCTCACATGTTGTTAGTAACGAACACTTTACGATTAGAAGGAGGGGCAGGGGTTTATGGTTTTTTTTAGCTTTTTTCTTAGCTGGTGGAAATTGTATATTTTTTTGCTGGAGCTTAACCATAGAAACAGCAAGACAAGAAGGTTTGTACGTGATTGACGGAAACGGTAATGTTTGTTTGCAGGAGCTTTGAAATAGACAAGAAGACTCTATACAAATGAAGTATAAAAGAAATATATATACATATATTGTTATTTCTATCGTTTAGTTTCTGTCGTTGACCTTATAAAAAGATCGGTGCAAAGCTGAAAATATCTAACAAAAACAAAGACCGGACGAGGCAATGTATTTATTCATTCCTCTCAATAAAAAAAAACACAAAGTACAGATCAGAACGTACTCGTAGTTACTGATATCCAGTTCAAAGCCAAAACAACTAATAAATTATGTAAGACTAAATGTAAGAGAACAGCCAAAATCATCCAAGAGTTAACTTTGCTCTGATTCCTTGTCAGGGGTTTGGCAATACTTTTGGTCCTTGTTGGTTATATAAGCTCTTCAACTTAACGTGTATCTTAGGTTCTGGTTTTCTAATGTTTAGACCGCGCCTTACAAAGTTGTCGGAATGCGCATCTGGTGCAGTAACAATGGTATCGTTTAATATGATAAACATAGTGATGAGTCTTTTTTAACACGCATAGTCCTACATTATTTTGATACTTATATGCTGCACTCCCCAAGGTCGTGCTTTTCAAAGAATTTTGGACGACAAGAATGCAACCATTAGTCACGGAAACACGCAATTATTGTAAAATTACCCTTAGATTTTTTAATCTAAGGAAATTTGGTCTATACACCTATTAGAATTTTGCTTTAATCTAGCGGTTAAGGACATAAGAGGGTGTGGATGCGGGTTTACAGAATACAGAATAATGGGCAAAAAATATAGTTTAGAAAGATTTCCTCAAAGCGTGTTCAAGATAATGCACGGACACTGTTTGGCAGCCTTCTGCCCGCCGTACATCACCAAATTAATAACCGATATTTTCCTTCGGAAATCCAGTTAAATCTGGTTAAAAAAAGCTACATGTAAAACGATATACTACATAATACTATATATTATAGCAAGCCTATAGTTATACACGACTAGTTTAAAGTACATATTATTTTGAAACACACACAAACTATGCCGAGGAAGTGCACATAAAGTATAATCGTGTACACGATTTCATACGGTTGTATAATCGTGTACACGATTTCATACGGTTGTATAATCGTGTACACGATTTCAAACGGCTGTATAATCGTGTACATGATTTCATACGGTTTAAGCATAAACCGTACATATCATTGCCTTTCATTTTATTTTTGACCCGAGAGTAAAGGCATACATTATATATATATATATATATGTTGTGTACAAATTGTAATGTTGTACAAATTATAATTTGTACAGAATTTTTGTACAAGTTATCAGTGTTTTATGAACCGCTTAACACAAATGGATGATACAAGCACACAGTCTTTTGTTTCACATATTTCTGTCATATTTCCATGACTACATGATGCAGTCTAATACTGAGCATTGATACAAAAAACATTATAACAACACAAAATGACTTTTCATGGATATAATTTTGGTATAAGGAGAAAAATAAAAATAGAATTTAAACCATTCAGGTGTCCTTATTTCCAGTTTTAGGACAAGGAGAATAGCACTAAATGTTAAGTTGAAGTATATAAATTTGAATTTAAGACATTAAGCTGATAAATTTTAGAAGATAAACTTTTATCACCTGGTGCAAAAAGGTATGTGTCAAAAAACTTATAACTTGTACAAAAACCCTGTACAAATTATAATTTGTACAAACTTGCATCTTGTACACAACATATATATACACTGACGTACAGTAGGGAATTTTGTTAAACTCAGTCAAGTTTCTGAACTGAACTGAACTATTCAAATTAAAATTGCCGAAAGGGGTTATATTATACTAGTCCGTCTTCTTGTAAACATAGTAGGCAAATGGACATAGATCAAAAATGAATATAGGTTCAACTAAAAACCCAGATAAAGCAAAAACAAGAATGAAGGCCATCATTAAAATTCCAACTCCTCTAATGAAAATTACACGTCAAGAAATATCCGTATGAAAGGACAATCGCGCATATATTTTACTATTTTACCATACTAATTTTAGACGTAAAATTTTACATTTAATAATTACTAATTTCCTTTCCTAAATCTACTGAAGAAATTTTCGGTACATTCAGTGTGCGTGCTTAAAAAAGAGTTGAAAGATACCTAGGGGACATTCAAAACTCATAGGTTGAAAACTAATAGGTTGAGACAACCTGACAATACCATTGGTGAAAGATACCTAG